AAGCGAGTCTCCTGCCTCTGCCTCCCAAGTAGCTGGGACCACAGGCGCCTGCCACAACACCTGGCTACTTTTTGGTTGCAGTCATCATTGTTGTTGTTTTGGCGGGCCCAGGCTGGATTTGAACCTGCCACCTTAGGTGTATGTGGCTGGCGCCTTAGCCACTTGAGCCACAGGTGCCGAGCCTAGTTTCTGGTTTTTTACAAATGTACTGTGGTTTTATGAAATTTTAACATTAGGGAAAATTGCATGAGGAATTTATGATAACTTTCTATACTATATTTGCAACTTATCTTTACATCTAAAGTTTCCCAAACTAAAAAGTTTATGTGAGACAGAAAGGGAGAAAGAGATGAAATGACAAAATCTCTTTCAAAATTGAAGTAGAAATCTCCACAATTAGTTCTCAGGAGCCTCAGTGTATGTGGCCAGTGCCATAACCACTGTGCTACAGGCGCTGAGCCGACATTTATTTCTTGAAGTCAGAAATGGAAGTTTGTTGTTTATAATTGACTATAATGCTATTATCTGAAACCACGTACACAAATATTTCAATATTCCTAATTATTCATTTTGAGCAAAAATATAATTAAATCTTATGCAAGAGAAGAAGAAAATTCTGACCTACAAAGCAGTATGGTTTAAGGATGTTCATGAGATGTGACTGTAAGTATTAAACCCAGAAACAATGTATATGTCCACTAGTAGCAGAATGGTTTAACGAACTCATGAAGACATTAAAATATATGTTTTGGCTCAGTGCCCATAGTACACTGGTAACAGTGCCAGCCACATACACTGAGGGTGGTGGATTCAAACCTGGCCCGGGCCAGCTAAACAGCAATGACAACTGCAACAAAAAAATAGTGTGTAGTCCCAGCTACCTGGGAGGCTCAGGCAAAAGAATCACTTAAGCCCAAAAGTTGGAGGTTGCTGTGAGCTGTGATGGCACAACACTGCATGGAGGGTGACATAACGAGACTCTGTCTCGAAAAAAAAAAAAAAGAAATATATGTATATATTTTAGAGGTAGTGTCATTATATCACTCTCAGTAGAGGCTGTGGCATCATAGCTCACAGCAACCTTAAACTCCTGGGCTTAGGCAATTCTCTTGCCTTAGCCTCTCGAGTAGCTGGGACTACAGGTGCCCGCCACAATGACCAGCTATATTTTTGTTGCAGTTTGGCCAAGGCTGGGTTTGAACCCGCCACTCTCAGTATATGGGGACAATGCACTACCCAATGAGCCACAGGCGCCGCCCATGAAATATATACGTTTTAATGAATGCTTACATACAAGGAAATATACCGGCTCTGCGCCTATAGCTCAACCGGCTAAGGCGCCAGCCACGTACACCTAAGGTGGCAGGTTCAAATCCCCAGCCCGGACCCGCCAAAACAA